GTGTCCGTGGCTAGTCTANACTAAGTTTGGTGGGGGGTTTAAGGTTTTTGTAGGTACCTAAATTTTATTAATTTTTATAGGTGAATTATTTTTTGATATTTTTATTATGTGCGTCTCACTAAGATGTACATACGCTTCAAATTTTATATCATTATGATTAGTAAAAAAATAAAAATTAAAACACTACTGTACAATTGTGACCGTTCGATGAAGTTTCGATGGTGATGAGGGTAGGAGGTGTTTTGTAGTGTCTTCCATAATATATATATATATATATATATATAATACAACTACATTAATAAAATAATTATAAATATATAATATATACTATTATATATTTATATTATCATGTATTTTTATATTATATTATATTATATACATTATATAATATTATATATCTATATATTTATATAATGTGTATAATATATTTATGTATTATACTATAATATTATATATTGGGTGCAGTTTGTATAGAGCCTAGGCTCTAAACAATCAAATTGGAGCCTACCTTTAAATAGTGTCGAGAAATGTGGTTTTAACACTAGAAATCTTTGTAATAGCCTTAAAATATATTTTCATCTTTATTTATAAAGTTTAAAGCTTCAAAAAAAGTGTATATCGACAGATCTATAAAAACTTGAAAATCTTGAAAATTGACGGTCAAAAATGCATTACAAAATACATTATTTCTAAAATTTAAAATCAATTTTTTTTTCTCATGTCCATGCATCTTGATGTCGAGATGATCAATTTGAGGACTTTTGGGCATCAAAACAATCTCGTCTGACAAAATTTTTGAGGTAGGCTCAAATGTGATTGTTTAGAGCCTCGGCTCTATATAAACTTTTCCCTTATATATTTCCTCTAATGTTATATAATATAATATAAATATAATTTATGTATTATATATTAATTGTTAATTATTATTGCAATATAATTTATATATTAAGGATACAATAGAAAGGAATAAGAAAAAAATAAAGATTTCATCTTAGTTAAGAAATAATATTGAAGTTTGGAACCAATAAGAGAAGTTAATCAATATAAAATTAAATGAAAGGCAATAACATAAAACCTGTAACAGAATATTTATGGATTCACATCTTCCAAGTAATCCAAATAGTGGATAGGCATATTTCATGTTTCTTATCGGATACTATCCAAATAGGATACACCCCTATCCAGAGACAAACCAATTCCTGGATAATCCTATTCCCACTGGGCTAGAGAATAAAAGCGAAAGCCACACTAAACCCCACGACTAGTTTCAAAAACCTTGCGATGACCCTAAAATCTATCTTTATTCCTCACCATGAAATTTGAAGCTTCAAATATGTTGGGATAGTCCAGTCTAGATAATGTATTACAACATTCTATTTTTAATACATAAAATCATTTTTTCAAAATTCATAATAGTTTAGTTGAGTTGAGTTGATAAATTTTTCGAGGGACGGACTTTTTATAAAGCCTTGGCTTTATGAAAACAAAACAAAGCCTTACCTCAAATCCTTGTCATGAAAGCATATTCAGCAACAAAAATTTCTATAATGGCTCTAAAATAAATTTTCAATACTGAATAAAATATGAAACTGGAAAAATGTTACAGATCTTGTGAATCTTTGAACACTTATTTTTAGGGCGAAAGAGACATTCTAGATATTTTGTTACAATAGACATTGTTTTTTTGGTGCTTGAAATCCTAATATTTTTTCATAACCATAATATTCAAGCCAAGATGATCGATTTATTGCAATTATCAATAATTTATGAGGTGAGGCTTTAGTTATTTTGATGCGGCACTATATTTTTATTGTAAACCTAAATCTCACGCTCAATGTTGTCAAATTCACTTCGCTTCAGCGGAAGCTTTCGGATTTTAGGCCTAGACTAAAGTGAGCGAGGCCTAGTGCTGCCGTTTTGGTCAGATTCAAGTCTACTTCGGGCAGATTCGGCCGAAGCTTCAACCTATTCGGTCCAAGCAAAGAAATATCTATATAAAAGAATTTTTTTTTTTTTTAAATTTAAGTTTTTTTTTTTCATTATTTTTATATGTTGGTGTTGCCGGTTTGGTCAGATTCGGGCTACTTCAGTCGGATTTAGGTCTGCTTCGTGCAGATTTGGCCGAAGCTTCGGTTTCTTTGGCCCAAGAAAAGAAATATCTATAGAAAAAGTATTTTTTTAATTTAAAAAAATTGAAAGTTTTATTTTTAATTTGTTTTATTTTTATATATCGATATAAATATCCAATTTGATTTATATTAAATTAAAAAATCCAAATTCTTCTTCCGAATCGGCTGAAGCTCTGAATTGCTTCATTTTTCTAAGCCTACCAGCCTAAGGAAGACCCAAAGCGAAGTTCACAACACACGCTGTCCTTTTTCCATCTGTTCCAAGATCACTAGGGGCTGCTACATCGTTGCATTCTAAATTGGGCAGCTATTTGATCTTTTATCACCAGTTATTAAATAAACATTTTTTACTTATTCAAGATAAAGATGAAGTTTAACAGAAAACAAAATGAAATTTCATTGGGAGCTGGGGTTGTGCAATGATTCCAACACAATGTTTGTCTTTTTTTATTTCCAGTTTTTGTTATTGTCAAAAAAAAAAAAATGTTTGTCATTTTTGTTTTAGAAGACATTGGTTGGCCACCAATTCTGAGAGCTTTTTGCACTAGAGGAAATGAAGGCATCGAAGTCATCATAAGGTAGGGATTTGAGGAGAGCCATGATAATTGTAGGACAAATAAAATGATTTTTTCAAGGCTCACGGACCTACTTCTCTCCCTCTCTCATACATATCATGAGGCCTTCTCCACAGATTCAAACATGCATTATGTGATATCTCTAATGCCCCTTCTTTCATAATGTTACAAATATACTTTGGATCCTGTTTTTTGTTGCAATTGTCCTAAAACTGAGTGGTTGGTAGGCAACATCATTGAGTTCATCAGTGGCACAAACTTTTTATGGTGGCAAACAGATAGCACAAAATTTTTCCAAGTACTAAGATTATCATTAGCTATATGTAAGGAAAACCAAATGCTAGTGCCAGCATTCTATACAAATCCTATATCACGCCTATGCTGCTCCTTATCAAATCTTAACTGTTGATTCGTTTAACTACCTAAAGATATTCAAATCTTAGTCATCGATTTCTTTAAGTACCAAAAAATAGATTAGTGGTTGCATAATGATGACTTAGACTTTTAGTAAGCAGAAGTATTGCAAATTGACTTAGTGTTTAACGCTCCAGTACAAATTATATACACCAAATGCTCATTCACAGGCCACTTTGGTTGCTGCATTTTGTGTACGCTTACGGGTGTGCGCCCATGTAACATTTGAGCACGCACGAGAGAGACGTGACTATGAAGTTGCCATCCGAATGGTACCACCACAATATCGTTAGCCGCATTTTTTCCAATAAGGAAAGAGCCCTTTGTTCTTTACCTCCAAAATAAAATAGATGTAGACTGCATTGTCATAAAACTTCATATTCCCAAGGTAAAATCTTAAAATAAATACAGAAACTCGTGCATTCTGAAGAAAGAGTATACAAGCACCATTGATGTCCTTGAAAAGTACTGGGCCATCTCTCTCTCTCTCTCTCTCTCTCTCTCTCTCTCATGTCCTCAAGCTCTCTTTCTTATTAGGTACATAGGAACACAGCACACAAAAGGTCGCATCAAGGTTCAAAATCAAACTCCCAACTGGTTTTTTTTTCCGATTCTCCCAATCTGCATCTGAAAAATCATTCCATTTTTTATCCCTAAACCATCAGAACCCCACATTAATCCAAGCTCACAAAATCCCATCAACATATTTATACACACACACATATATATATATATACCCAAGTTTAACCCCTCCCCAAATTAACCAAGAATAAAAAAACGCAAACCCTCTGGAAGATAAAGTCTCTCTCTATATCTATGTTCTACCTCTCCTCTCATCAATAAAACAAGGGACCCTATATGCACGCCCAACCCCAACTCAAAGTCACTAGTAATCTCACCAAAGCTGATCCAGTACAACCAAAATAGACATCACAAAACGAGGAAAATAAATTAATTATAACCGCTGAAAATTCTTAAAAAAATACATAAATTCCTTTAAAAGAGCAGAAGATCTCGCATGGCTAGGTCTGAGTAGGAGCATCGCTTCTAACATAAGTGAGAGAGCGTGGGCCTGGAGTCAAGGGTGAGGCAAGAGGTGCCTGGTTCTGTGGACCCACAGGGCCATCGCGCTTCCATTGCAGACTACGGGGCCCAGTCTTTAGCGGGGACCATCTTGTAGGGGCCAAGGGACGAGTAAACGGGGCCCGCCCAGTAAATCTGGAAGTAGAGAAGGGACGGTGTATTCGTGGCCAAATGGAAGGCAAAGCTTCGTGTTGGCCTGAGCTTCTTCGGACCACCTGCAACATAGAGGGATCGAAAGGAAGCATTAGCATTCTAATATGATTGGTTTTTTCTATTTTTCAGATTTTGTTTATTGATACATAATGCAGTGGATAACCAATTTGGCAACTATTTTCTTTCTCGTGAATCGAGGAGGTAATTTCAGAAGTGATATGCAAGGAGATGCAATTTCAGATTACTGAATCACTTCCTCGTGGCATATTCACTTCCCAATGTTCCAAGTTCGCTTAGATAATGGAGACCTGGTTATAAGTTATGTTTCAAAAAGGATCCAAGATAGTTTTATACGGATATTATTAGGCGAGAGAGTGAAAATTGAAGTGAGTCATTATGATTCAATCAGGGTACATATTATTTAAGAACAAGTAAACGGGAAAAAAAGTACTATTTAAAAAAAAGGTGGGTGTGGGGCGGGAGACCACATGGAAGTAAAGAGTGTATAAGAATCTCTCTCAAACACACGAATACGTGTGCACATAAGAATCTCTCAATCGCACACACGCATGTGTGCGCACACAAAAACATAACCCATTTCTTGTATTACTCTGATGTACCAACACTGCCTTTGGCCAACACCATGTAGTGTCGTACACAAAAACATAACCCATTTCTTCTATTACTCTGATGTACCAACACTGCCTTTGGCCAACACCATGTAGTGTCGTATATCGAATGGTTTAGGCATCACGTATTCACATTATTAAAAAAAAGAAAAAAAAGAAAAGGAAAATTAAAAAAAAAAGAACATTATTTAAAAAAAGAAAAGAAAAAAGACATCCAGTAGACTTTCACTCCTGGAGCAGGACTCAAAACAATCATTGTATCCCATCTCTGCCATCCATTCATTTGGTCGGTGGAGATTAAGGAGGAAAGGTTAAAGAATTTTTAAAATAGTCACGCTAGAACCACAGATGCAGAAATGGTGGTTTCTATGAAGTTTTTTTCGTTGTCAAATGACTGCCTAGGGGATGGCAAAAGCATTTCCATCAAGGGTTGGTATTGCATCTACATGCTGTGGACGCTTACTGTGCCCTTTTAGTGGTTCAGATTGAACCAGCCACATCTAAGGGTCAAAATTGAATTTTGTTTTTTATTTTTTATTTTTTATTGAAAAATTATTTTACTATGAAATTTGGGCTTTAGCTTCATTTTTATAATTATAATTTATAGGACAAAATAATATAGGGGTACTTTGGTCATTTTCTATTTAAATTATTTTTAATCATTTTAATTTATTCATAAAAATACACCTGCACTCCAAAATTCAGATATAAATCTTATTTCAATAAAAATTAAAAAATAAATTATGAAACTAATTTTGGGCTGTAGGATATAGCCTCGTAAAATCTCAAAGGGAAGAGTGCTTGTGCAACCTTCCACCCGACCATATTCCACATGATGTGAACGGGATGCTTTTCCTTACAACAATTGCCAGGATGGCTCAATGGAAATCTCTGCAAGTTCCGGGCAAAATGGCCATAAAATGGGATAGCAGGAAATTGTATGGCTTCTAAGGTTTTACAGTGCGAATATTGAAAACAGTTCTTCAAGTTGGGTCAGATTTTTTCAAAACCTCAAAAACAAGTGCCAGATATATCTAGAAAAATTAAGATACAAAAGTTCATTACTTTTTAAATTTATTAGGGAAATATCTGCAGATGTTTAAAGTACACGTATCAAGTTTAAGCCAACATTGAACCTGCCACCAGATCTTTTTTTACTGCATTCTCTCTCTCTCTCAGATAGAATCACAGGGAGAGTGGATCATTTGAAAAATAAAGCATTCGAGATATTTTACTAAAAAATTACATTTTTCATAAGAATAAATGAACCTCGATTATAATATAAGATCTCCGAAAATTGATCATTTGAAGAAAGTGGTCCGTTGAATTAAAACACTTGCCAAGAGAAGCAGGATGTGAAGGGTAACAAGTTACCTTGAGAATGCGAGACATGAATGAGGTTCCATTCAAAGAGAGTGCGAGCTCTGCAGCTTCTTTGCGTGCAAACTCCACATAAGCTGACCTATATATGACAGATGACAACTTATCAAACGAAAGAGAAAAGAAAAATTCTTAACACAGATGAACCTGAGCTCCATAAATGCCAATTTAAAGGCAAAGAGGAAGTCCTTGAGCTCAAATTCTCACTCAAAACTTCCAATCAAGAAAAGAGAACACTAAGGGGTCGGTTGGTTCGTAAGAAAATAATCCCCAAGAATATTTTATTTTTTATATGAAAACAAAGATTAACATGCTTGTTTCGTATTTTTAAATATGTGAAAATTTGTTCCAGGCGAAAAATATTTACATAAAATGACCCTACTCATATGGAAAGAACTCCTCATGAGGTGGGGACAAAATTAAGTAGGATTATTTTTTCCATCAGAACCCGACTTAAACTATCTCAAAATTTAAGTTTTAGAGAGAGAAACTATCTTAAAAATTTTAGAAAGAGAAACTATCTCAAAACTTTTAAAGAGAGACACAATATTAAATATTTTAAAGAGAAACTATCTCAAAATTTTAAAAGAGAAACTATCACAAATTTTAAGTACTAAAGAAAGAGAAACTATATAAAAAAATTTAGAGAGAGAAACTATATCTAATTTCAAACTTTAGAGAAAGAAACTACCACAAAACTTTAGAAAGAGAAACTATCTCAAAATTTTTAGAAACAGACTATTTCAAAGTTTTTAGAGAGGGAAGCTATCTCAAATTTCAAATTTTTAGAGAGAACTATCAAAAAACTTTTTGAGAGAAACTATCTCAAATCTCAAGTTTTAGAGAGAAAGTATCATAAAATTTTTAGTGAGAGAATCTATATCAAATTTAAATTTTAGAGTGAGAAACTACCTCAAAATTTTTAGAGAGAAACTATTGTAAATTTTTTAAAGAGAGACCATCTCAAAGATTTTAGAGATAGAAGTCATCTCAAATTTCAAATTTATATAGAGAGAAAGTATCTCAAAATTTCATTCTCAAAAAAAAAGAAAGTATCTCAAATTTTTAGGGAGAAACTATCTCAAGTCTAAATAAAGAGAGAGGAACTATATTAAAAGTGTTGGAGGGAGGAACTATCTCAAAAAATTTTGAGAAAAACTACATTAAATTTTTTTGATATAAACCATCTCAAAGTTTTAAGAGAGAAACTATATCAAATTTCAAGTTTCAGAGAGAGAAACTATATCAAAAATTTCAGAGAGAGAACCTATATTAAAAATTTTAGAGAGACGCTATCTCAAAGTTTTTGGAGATCCTATCTCACATTTCAAATTTTTAGAGAGAAACTATCTCAAAATATTTAGAGCGAAACTAACTCATATTTTAAGTTTTAGATAGAGAGACTATCTCAAAAATTTTAGTGAGAGAAACTATATCAAATTTTAAGAGAGCAACTATCTCAAAAAATTTAGAGAGAGAACTACATTAATTTTTTAGAGAGATAAATAACTCGATTTTTAGAGAGAAGCTTATCTCAAAATTTTAAGAGAGAACGAACTCAAATTTCAAGTTTCAGAGAAAAAAATATCTCAAAAATTTTAAAGGGATAAACTATATCTTATTTCAAGGTTTGGAAAGAGAAACTATATCAAAAAATTTAGATAGATAAACCATATTAAAAATTTTAAAGAGAAACTATCTCAAAGTATTTACAGAGGCTATCTCAAATGTTAAATTTTTGGATCTCAGAATTTTTAGAGAGATAAATTATCTCAAAATTTAAGTTTTAGAGAGAAATCTCAAAATTTTTAGAGAGAAACCATATCAAATTTCAAATTTAGAGAGATACTATTTAAAAATTTTCGAGAGAGAAACTATCTCAAAATTTCAAGTTTATTGTGTTCTCTTTCTGCCTGTTTCCAACGGTGTTTACCAAACATGGGAGAAAGCATTTGAATAATTTTTTCCCTGTAGATTGTTTGCAGATGTAAATATTTTCCCTGTATACATTGCCAAACTATTTCACGCGAAACAAATGACCCCTAAAGAAATAATTCTCCTAATACTAAACTAAACTACTGCAGGATCAACAATCAAGCACTCAGCTGTAAAGATCTCCCTTTTGATGAGCCCAAGAATGAAAGCTCTCGTGGCTCTTAAAGCACATGAAGGATAAAGATACCAAAACACATTTATTGTTGTTTATATAAAAAAAAAAGGCGAAGAATTGAAAGAAACCAAATGAATAGTTCATCAAAAGGATGTTCGCCAAAGAATTGGATCTACTGTTCCCGAATTCCCTAAGAAATTTATTCTGAACAGGGGCAAGTGTGAGAAAATCAATTCTCATGAATCAGCAGCTACAGTAATAACAATCATCATTTCTGAAGTTCTAAGAGACCTAAAGTTTGTTTACAATATATCCGAAAAGAAAATCCAATTACGAGAACATACCCTTTTGGTTGGCCAGTAGCAGCATCACTTAAAATGATTACTTTCAGCACTTCTCCACATTTATTAAAATGTCGAGATAGGGTATCCTTGGTCGCTCCAAAGTGAACCTGTAATCCAATAGTCAAGAATCAGATTTTAAAATAAATGTTGCTTCAACAACTAGGAAAAGTCCAGAAAAGGTTAGACCAACAACAAAAATACTTCTAGAACCAGGCAAGATGCCTACATTACTGACAAACACAGTCCTAGAATCTGCATCTTCAAAAGAACGAACAGCTGAATATGCACCTGCAGATATCAGAAGAGATAATTAAATTCCTTTCTCAATCCACAGGAGGGAATGACTTTCAATAGGAAGAATGGATTCTACAAAAAAGTGCAAAAAGAGAAAACTCGACGTATTAAAAAAAAAAATAGTAAACAGAGCAATGCAGGATCATGCCATTATCATACTATCTTGCTGGAAGTTGATTTATCACATATGCCCACACGAGCACACACAAAAGCACCTGTGTGTTTGCTGAGCACACGTAGGTGTGTATACACAACAAACAATAATAGAGAACAATCATTTCAAATGGCTACAATGCCGGAAGTACTCGGAGCCTAATGCAAGCAAGTCCAAGACCATGAATACAGGCATCAAGTTAAAATTAAAAGGATAAAGTATGTCAAGGATCACTGCCCAGTAGCCATCAAGTTACAGTAATACAGGCACCCCTCAGTAACAATCAGATTTTCAAAATATCAGTTTATATATATATATATATACACACACACACACACACACACACATATATATATTTAAGATTTATTTCAAGAAAGACACATTTCGAATTCACAGGCGGTGCTTTCATCAGGAGAATCACAATTGTTATATATGCAACGACTATGACTTACCAGGTACAGATTGAACAACCTTTTGAGTCTCTTTCCGAGTATCTCCAAGGGACATATCCTGCTAAAGAACAGACATATGCATGGAGTTTCAGCAATCTAATATAGTGGCAAAACAAAATGAAAATTACAGAGACACCCGAGTACTAGGTATGTGAAGCAAGTAATTAAAACCAAGGTTTTAGTATGCGAAGCAAGTAATTAAAACCAAGGTTTTAAAATGGGCATGTCACCCTTATAACAGCCGACAGCCGATCCCACTAGAATGGGTATAATGGTCTTTATTTTGAAATATTGCCATTTAATAGGTCACACCACCCTCATAACGGCTGAAGGCTGTTACCATTATAATGTTGAAAATTGTCTCTCTTAAAGCCATGCTCCAAACCACCAAGAAGAGTGCAAATATACACCAATTGTTTAGTCAAAGACATCTTAAAACATCTTAACTGTTTTAAAAAGAAGGAAAGGATTATGAAAAATACCACACGAAGTTCTCCCAACGATTTTCACTTTGAATAAGCCAAATTCGAATGATAAAAAAGACACTAAAGTTTCGGAAAAGTTCGATACAAATACAACTTGAAGCCAAAAAACCACAGGAAAGAAAATTAAATTTTTGCAAGAAGAATTTAATCTTTTCAGATCTTTCGCATTTATAAGTAATTAAATACGCAACTTCATCAGACAAATTATAATTTTACTACCATCATTCCCCTACATAAAGCCAGACTGCATTTCACTGGTTCCATTTTATTCTTTTTCTTTTCTCCTTTTTATAAGTTTGATATATTTCACACCAACTGGGAAGTTAACCCATATCAATGCCACTTTGTTTCCAGAAATTCCAGGAACAGTATACTTTAAAATTTATAAAACAGAAGAAAAAAAAAGGTCAAATTTATTTTTCTTTCTCTAATAAGTACTCAAATTCTATTCATCTCAAGAAGCGAAAATAAATATAATGATTTCTATGAAAGAAGCTAGATAGTGCTCTTAAATCAGGAAAACAAACATCCAAATAACTACTAATGATTGTACTTATTTTACCTACATTTCCATTTCCTGCCATGACAGCCTTGACCTCTTCACAGGTCTGGGCAGCATTTTCTGTCACACCCGTGTCTGCCTCAAGTGTAGAATTTCGTTTCTCGGGTCCTCCGACATTCCTAACTGACTGGAAATGGGAAGGCTTCCATGTGTTCACATTCACCGAGATATTCACAATCTTTTGTGAAGCATTTGCCATTCCATTCACAGCTTGATCCTTCAACTTCGTTTTCCTTCCCTCATCTTTGTTCTGAGCAATGCTATACTGAACCAACAATGAATCATTATCCTTGTTCCCAGAACTTTGAGAAGCATCTAAAAACCTTCTCTCGGAGGCCCCAACTTCATCAAAACCATCATTCTCAGAAGCATAATCAGAAGCCATGACATTATTCTCATCAAAAGTTGACACTTCCCCATTAAAGTCTCTACCATAATGGTTTTCTTGGAAGTTAACCCCTTCAGCCCCATGCCCCAGTTCTTCTGGTGTCGGAGCTTTAAATACAGTTAATTGTTCGGTACAATCAATCCCATCCTTGGCACCACCCAACCTATCAAAAACATTTTTACCTGATCGAGATTTACTAACATCTTCAGCAGCTTCTGCAGCTGCTTTCACTGCAGAAGCCATCAAAAGTGGCACTCTGGTTACTGATTTTGTCCTTTGGGGAGGGGCATCATGTAATGTATTGCCTGAAGATGTAGCAACCACCGAACGCAAACGTTTTGAAGCTGGTTCAGATTTTGAAGTAGAGGTTAAAGGCCCAACAGCTTCTCTCACAGCATACTGAAGAAGACGGCGAGGAGCATCAACACTCGGACGAGATGCACTATCAGCCTGAAAGAAGAAGCCACCAAATAGTTAATGAGAATTTATGATTTCCAAATAGTTAATGAGAAGTTATGATTTATGCAACTGCAAAATAAGAATGCATAGTTAGGGCAGTCAATATTGGACGCTGAATACTTGCTTATTAATATAACACAAACTTAATTATTAAATTAACTTCACCTTCAATGGAGGCTAGGAAGGATACGAAACAGGTCCATGTGTGGATTTCTTACTTGTTCTTTTAATATGCAGGTTTCCGCTTATTTTCTTACTTATCAAGATGAAACACATACTGGATCAGTGGATTTCTTGAATTCAGATGTAACACCTAGCTCCTATAGAAATAGCAGAATACTACCAATATTCCCCAAAGCAGTGTTTATGCAATAATGATACTCTTTATGTATTTCCAAGTAATCAGGGATGCCCTGGTGACCTAGAAAGAAAAGCAATACTTCCATCTAAATGTCTAATCTATGATCATGAATCTTTGCAACGGATTACCAAGTGTCAAATACCCCCAGCACATAACATTAGAAAGTCCCTGATTCATTTAGTGGCATGGTAGTTCACACGCTGAATCTTGATTCAGCAAATTTTACACTATCTATGATGCCAAGGCCAAATCTTTCCATTCCATGCAAAATTAAGGGGTACATTCATCAGCTTGGAAAACCAAAAAGATTTCTTTTAGCATCAAAGAAACAGATCACTGATGTTTCACCATTTGTTTTTATACTTGGCTTGGGCCTCGGCCTCCGTCCGAACGAGTAATGTGCAGGGGACAAAAAGCCCTAAAAAATAAAAAAAATTGCTAAAAAATAAAAAATTTAAAAGTGAAACAAAACCAAAAGCAACCTAAATTGTCCAAATAAGCTGGAAATAAATATATAAAACATGGATTTAGAAAAAGATGATTTACGGTTGAAGACATCTCCAAAAAAAAAAAAAAAGAAGGACGATATAAAAATACATATGACTAGAAAAACTCAAAACCATTATTAAAAACTCTTTTTTAGTATACCCGAGTTGTATCTGGATACTCGGCTCAACAAGGGGTCGAGACTGAGTACCTCGATCGAGTCCCAGTGGCCCCAGTAGACTAGTTAAACACTGGATTCACCGTTCAAAGAAGGTTACAATGACCAACCTTTTTAGGCTTCCATTCATCATCCAAATTCTCATCTCTGCGAACCCTAGTTTTGGGTGAGCGAGGCCTCTTGAAGGAACGTGATCGGCGGCCTGTTCTCTCCTTTGTATAAATGCTTTGATGTTCATCGTTTTGTTTTATTGGCTTTTCAATATCATTGGTTTGGAGAGAAGGTTCAGTTGTATCCAGTGTTGAACTTTTCCACTGTCTCCTGCGCCTGCTTCTAGCTTCCATAATAGGTTCTTCTATTTCCATATATGAGTGGGGGTCACCACTCGTTTGATCCATTGGCTGATCTATTCCTCTCAAACCATCATCTAACAAAGATTCCGGCTCCACAGTTTCCTCCACAGAAGAAGAAGGTTCTGGAGGGGGCACATATAGATGCAAGTTCGAAGAAAGATGATCCCAGAGCCTGTAATATGAAAACTAAAGATTATTTATCACAAACAAATAGATAAACAACCATCTCATACTCTCAATAAAATAAATAGTCAAAATGTATATATTACAGAACCAAAAGTAGAGACTTGAAGGTTTAACTTACCAAGATACGAAAGACTCACTGTCATCCCCAAGGAATACATTCAGTTCTTTCTTTGCCTCTTCTTTCTGCCTCCCATTCCTAAGTAAGACAATGACATACTCCTGCAGATAAATGATACCATCAGAATACAAGTACTCAACCAACATCCATTAGTCACAATGCATTTCATTTCGCGTAATGATTGATCTTTACTCATTGAATCCAGACTAAGAAGAGCTATTTCCTTCTCCTTTTTTTCCTTGTTACCGGTAAAAATGTTCATAAAGTAGACATGGTAGGTACAAGATTATATGAAAAAGAAAGAGAATAAGGCAAAACAGATGAGTAGGGAGAATGTTGAGGGGACTACCCAAAGGGGCGAACGAGTTTCTTCAAGCAATAGAGAAAGTCAACTAGAGATCACAAGGGTTCAAAAGAACAAAAAGTTTGCAATATTCTTCGGACAAATAAAAGTTCATAAATTATGCAGGAACAAAAGTAATGCATACATGGTCTGAATTCAATGAATCCATTCCCTGACAATTTTTGAAGCAGCTATCCAAGAACTCAAACTTGGCAGCCAACTTGATGACCACCAAAACTAAGTCCATTTGCGGAGTTAAATTGTTAACTCAGAATAAAGAACTGTAAGTGGAAATCCAAATTCAACTCCTGCCTAAAATTAAACCACAACACCACCGCATGGCCATTTATTCATCAAATTAACATAAACATCCTAATTTTTTCTGACACAGTGAGTTTGTATTCACTGATTGGAAGTTAAAAGCATACTTCATTAAATCATAGATCACCAGCATATAATATTATTCTGAGTCATTAGAAGGAAGTTTCATGGAATTGGAAAACTAAAAAATAAAGCAAGAGGATGAATTGTTCAGTAGATTAACTATAGGGGTGTTAGGCCATATTTTAATAGAAGCTGCAATGGCAACCAGGTCAAGCACAGGTTTTTGAAGACTGATGAAAGATGAGATGATGAATTCAAAAGATAAATATTTGTGGGAACTTCAGCAACAGATTCTATTTCTTTGGCACCCGAGAAAGCTCTCCTTATTTAAGCTCTCAAACATGGACTCATTACTATCCCTTGAAGATGGAAGTGTGGAAGATGGAATTCTTAGGTCCCATTTGTCAAGAGAGATTCCTAGAATATGGTAGGTGTTTGGCCTTTCCTGGTCATGGTTTTAAAATGCGGCTGCATCGCCGCATATGATGCTGCGTAATGCGTTATGCGCTGGGAACTGCATCGCATGAGGCCGCATATGCGCCACATCTCGCACAGCCCACATATGCGGCCAGCGAGTGATGTGAAAAGAACCACTCAAGAATGGGTATTTTCGATTTTTTTCAGCCCCCAAAAGGGGGGTAAAGGGCTTGGGGGGGGTATTAAACCCCCCAAACTACCAAAAATAGCCACATCCGTCGCCTTTACTTCATCAAATCTATCTAAAGTGGCGGAAATTTATTTTTTTGAAATTCTTAGATTCTCGCATTGGTTGATCATTGGTTATTGATTTTTTTTCTTTTGGGTGTGGATTTGAGGAAGGTTTAGCGCAGTTTTAACAACAAATCAAGGGTTTCAAGCGCCGAGAAAAAATCAATATTTGTTTCTTTTGAGCGTGAAACTTTTGAAATCTTTAATCTTCATGGACTTTTAGCTTGTATTTCGTAACTTTAAAGTTTGTGGTTGCAAATTTAGGATTATGGTTGTTGAATGATTTATGAATCTAGTTTCAAGTTTCTAGTTTCTACTTTCTAATGTCTTCTATGATCTATCAAGATCTAGTGGATGCAGAATCCTCAACAACTGATAGTTTAGTTTGTATTTCGTAACTATAAAGTTTGTGGTTGCAAATTTGTGATTATCGTTGTGGAATGATTTCTGAAGCAAGTTTCAAGTTTCTACTCTCTAATGTCTTCTACGATCTATCAAGATCTAGTGGATACAGAATCCTCGACAACTGATACTTTTGGAGTAAATCAATAAATTAAATACCTAATATCTCATAAATCACCTCTATATTTTTTTTCTATGCATATACCTATTTTCTTAGTTTTTTTTAAATTTTTTTATATTTATTGACCGCATCGGGGCAATGCACCTGCATCTGGACCATATCAAACCGCATTGCCGCAACGGCCCCCCCAACGCATCAAGCCAAACATCGCCGCAATGGCCCCCCCAATACGTCCGGCCGCATCCCACATTTAAAAATATTGTTCATGGTAGTGACTTCTCGTTGTCCCTTAGTGTTTCAAAAGCGCTAAGCTGCTTCTACGCAATCGGGGGGCTCCAAGCCACCCAGCACCTAGGCAGGCGCACAGAACTTGGGCGGCCTAGTAGATTTTTTTTTTTTGGGGGGGGTTTTCTCTCTCTAACATAACCTCTAATGGGTTTTAGGTTTCGAATGAACCTAAAACCCCCCTTTAGTATTAAAAAAAATGGACCAAAAATATCCTCAAGGAGCCACATTTCTGCCCCTGGGCGGGGCGCAAGCCCTAGGCGGCCCGCCTAGGCGAGTTCAGGCAGGTTTAGGCGGGCACCTATGCAGGTTCAGGCAGGTACCTAGGCGGGTTCCCGGGCGCCTGCCATGGGCGGCCGCCTAGGCCGGTTCAAACGGGCACCTAGGTGGGTTTAAGCGGGTACCTAGGCGGGTTTAGGCAGGCACCTAGGCAGGTTCTCGGGCGCCTAAGCAGGTTCCCGGGTGCCTAGGCAGGCGCCCAGGGATATCCGCCTAGTTTGGTCGCTTATGCCTAGGTGATGCACCCAGAGCTTCTAGACCGCCTAAGCGTTGGGCGGTCCGCTTTTCAAAACTATGTTGTCCCTTGAAGACCCCTTAAGCTTAACACTATGGATTATAGGGGTCCTAATTCCCCAACAATGATAATTAGTATGTGGAATTTGTACTGTAGTAGGGATCAAAATCAAAAGTGATAACGAGTCAAAGGCATAATCACTCTGCTTACTTTGCTAGGCTGGATGTCACTAAAAAGGGTTGTCATCGCTATCATGGATTTAGATAAAGCATTGGTTCAAGTTTTAGGTTCTAAGAGGGCAAGGGGAAAGCCCAAAACGCCATGGATAGAAGTGGTGAGAAAATATATGATGACTTTAATCTTACTGAGAGTCTAGCCTTGATAAAGAAGAATGGAGGAACAGGATTCATTTAGCAGACCCCAATTAATTGAGATAAGACTTGGATGATGATGATGATATATTTAGGTATAGGAATCAACAGGAGCATTCTATGTCTTTTGCATGGAAGATGGGAGTTGCATGCTCCATTCCTCGAAAACTTCGATTCGACGGCTTAAGTAGGTAGCTAGTTTTCAAGGCAGCCCAAAGAGGTGGGGTCTTTTGGGGCCTCAAGGGTGTTAGACCTTGACCAGGGGACATCAAGGTGTCCACCTAGGCCAAAAGGAGGGGCTAGGTGCCCGAATGGCGCGTAGTCACCTCCTTTAGACCAAAAGGTGGGGTTTCTTTTAAGGCTGGCTGCCCTAAGCACCAGTCTACCCTTAGGCAGCACACCCAGGACCCTAGACTGAAGCAGCCAAATTTGCAGCAATGATATTTTCTATCATACACATTACGATTTCAGGAAATCATATTAGTCTTCTCAGTGCAGTATGCCACAGTTGCCCAAGAAAATATTTGCATTTGTTCGACTAGTATATAGAGATAAAGGCTAACAACCATTTATGAGTTATGGCACTAGGGCCTTGAATTTCAAATGTACAGGTTCCATTGCACAATCAAAACATATCTTCAGGGAAGACGTGATTTGGGGGAAAAGGGTTTTCGCTCCCCCTTTCGGAGAAAGCCTTTTCAGGGCAATTAGTTTTTTCTCTTGTTTCCGAGGGAAGGCTTGGGAAAATTTCACCCGCATTCCCTCAATAAACAAAGAAACCATGATCTCTAGGGTCTCCCTAGAAAGCAGGTTTCTTGAAAAAGGTTTCTTAAACTTTCCAATGCAACCCCCCCCCCCCCCCTCTTCTTGTCACTTCTTTTAAAACATTCAGCACCCTCACTTCTCTCCCTACACAAACATCTTGCACAATGTTCGCCCAGGCGGCCGGCTAGGCGGGTGCCCAGGTACCTAGGCGGGCCCTAAGGGAAGGGGGTTGGGCTGGAGGCCATATGTTGTTTTGTGTATGTATGTGTTTGGTGTGTGCGTGTGTGCATGAGCACGTATATGTCTGCGTGCGGTCTCGCATGAAATTCTTAAAGATCACACTCTTTTTTTCTTTTGATTTCTTTTGGATCTATATTGGTAAGAGAGAGGTCTCGAACACTGGGAGGATATGTTGAGAGAGAGAGAGAATCTGTGAGAGAGGGACCTCGCATCGAACACCAGAAGGTCATCTTTTTTTTCTTCTTCTTACATGTAAAGAGGGAGTATATGGGTCCATATGCATCGTTGTGTGTGTATGTGTGTGTGTATATGAGAGAGAGAGAGACCATGCATCGAACACTTGGTGTCCATCTTCTTCTCATATGTAGAGAGAGCACATGAACCAAAGAGATCGAGAGAACGGCAATACCACGCCTTATTTTTTATTGGGTGGATTTTTTTATTTTTTTTTTTTTTAAGGAATGGCACTAGGTGTGCCATCCTAGATCGCCTAGGCACCCACCTTGGCTGCCTAGGTGCCGCCTTAAGCATGCCCGCCCAGACCCCAATGCCCAGGCAGTTTGTCGGCCAGGCCACCTAGGCGGCCGATTTTTTTCTTCACTAATCTTGCACAAACAGTTCTCCCTTCTCTCCCTTTTTCAAATAGGGAGGTGTGCATGCTCACTCGAAACACTTCTAGGCAACTGCCTAATCACTGCTTCAACTATACCAAGATTGAAGCTATTATGGTAGTTAAAAGTCTGGCTTACAAAGGGATATCAAAGGATAGATTTAGGGTAATATGTCATTTTACACCTAAACTTATGACATTATGACCATTCATATACATTCCCTTAATATGCGTATTATCTATGGTTTTCTAGAGACCTCCACGTGTTGTGGGGACCAAAGGCAAAATCATGCATCTAGTTGTTGTGGAGAGATAGCAGGTCCATAAAGGAGAATGACCTTTATTCTGAGAGGAAAATCATAGTTGTCAAATGGTTTCAAAAGATTGAGACCATTATCTAATTGCAAAAGGATTTAAATTATTAAAGAAGCTAATACACAATCAAAGGTTGTTTTACACCCAGTTTCACTATGAAAATCACACAATGCGACCTATAAAGGTTACCATCCCATAAACCATGTAAAGATAATGGAAAGCCGAGATGGGTCACTTGTAGATTACATGTGGGGAGACAATATCCAAGGAAGCTGGTAGAATAAAAATTAACAAATAAATGATTATTCAAAAAAAGATATAAATGCCTCATTCTCATGGTCAAAATTTGGCCAACAAAAAAGATGTGCATATGTCATTCTAGACCTAAACTTATGACATTATCTATGGTTTCTAGGAGACCTCCACGTGTTGTGGGGACCAAAGGCAAAATCATGCATCTAGTTGTTGTGGAGAGGTAGCAGGTCCATAAAGGAGAGTGACCTTTATTCTGAGAGGAAAATCATAGTTGTCAAATGGTTTCAAAAGATTGAGACCATTATCTAATTGCAAAAGGATTTAAATCATTAAAGAAGCTAATACACAATCAAAGGTTGTTTTACACCCAGTTTCACTATGAAAATCACACAATGCGACCTATAAAGGTTACCATCCCATAAACCATGTAAAGATATGTGGGAAGACAATATCTAAGGAAGCTGGTAGAATAAAAATTAACATATAAATAATTATTCAAAAAAGTATATAAATGCATCATTCTCAAGGTTGAAATTTGGGCAACAAAAAAGATGTGCACTTGGAGCTCTTTTAGGAGATCGCAATGAAAAATAACAGAATACAAGTTCATACATATATCCAGAGAAAAGTCCTAATCATTATCTGATAAATCCTTATCACTATTTCTATTTATGTTAGTTTCCTTTAGAATGTTTACTTAGTAGGTGCATGGTATAGATTATAGGAATGAGTAATTATCTTGTTAGCTGTGAGGGTTGTCAGTTTGGAAACTATTTACCTATATAAAGATATTGCAAGACTCTTCGAGGAATAAGAGAAAAAGCATAGATTTATTGGAGGCACCATTTCCCTTGAAGAAATCGAACAAAACATCCTGATACATGCATAAACATATCATTTGGTATCAAAGCAAGCATAGATCCTAGATCGTTAAGGGTTTATGCCAGGGTTAACCCAAGCAGGAATGGAGGAGTTGAAGAAACTAGCAGAAGGAATGGATCGTCATGATCAAATCTTGACATAATAATCCAACAACAAAAGGAGATAAGCGACTCACTGAGACAATTAGTCCAAGGGTGGAATATTATGTTGAGTTTCCAGTATCTGGAGGATCCTACTAGATGTTTGCTCGGGGCCAAACAATTCAAAAGGGTCAACCGAACTGCCGATAAACAGATGTTTTCATTAGCATCAGTGCATCTCAATGGAGATGATACTCCATTGTTTCAACAGATGGAGAGGACCTTTGGGGTGTTAAGGTAGCCTCAATTTACACGTGCACTTTGTGCTTGGTTTGGATCCCATGAGCAGGCAGACCCAGGGCGAGCACTTTCCAATCTTGAATCTTCAACAATGGTACGTGAATATCACACCTGATTTAAACGCTTAGCCAATCACAATGATCATGGGACAAGAAGATGACGAACCTGGAAATGATCTAACATACGATTCAGAAAATTCGAACTAGAGGCCCATGTATCCATCCATGGAATCTTTTCTTAAGTTCTGGACAAGGGTTTGGTTGTGGGGGGGTGGGGGGTTACATACGTCCTTATCGTTATTTGATACATCTTTATTACTATTTCTATTTATGCTATTTTTCTTTTAGTGTTTTTCCTTAGTAGCTGGGTAGTACAGATTTTATGAATCGTGAGTGCTTATATATCTTGTTAGCTTGTTCAATATATGTTTGGAAAATCTTTACTTATATGTAGATGAGGTAAGATTCTTTGAGGACAAAGAGAAAACAACGTAGACTTGTTGGATGCACAATTTCCCTCAAAGAAATTGAACAAACCATCCTGAAACATGCAGCAATGTGTCATACATATACCTCATCATGTATAAATAGAACAGAATTTAGGCTGTGTTAAAAAGGTGATTCAGTGAATCAATGGAAATAAAAATAAAAAAAATAGCTATGTTTTGGGATTATATAGGACTAAAGGAATCTGAGGGCGAGTTGATCCTCATGCTTCCTAAGGTTTCACCATGGTTAGCGTTCACAGATAAATAAGAAAAGTCTAATAGACGATCAACCAATAAAGCAAATATATGAACAGAAACAGGAATCAATGGCATAATTCAGCATTTCACAGTTAAATAAACAAGAACCAAACAGACAATCGACCAATAAAAACAAGATATAAATACAAACATGAATAAATGGAAATAAAAACAACATATGAATACAAACATGAATAAATGGAAAAGTTATGACACAATTAGGCATACAGAGACATACCACGAGAGTATCATCCGTATAAGAACCCATGAATTCCTTCAATTTATCCTTCACTTTCTCTCTCAACCTTGCAGCTCCATCACCAGTAAAATTCACCCGAAATACTCGTACTTCCATTTGAGCAGAGACCGCTATAATCAAATAAACCCTAATTCACCCGACGTATTCACCAATAAATAACAGCACAAAATTAGGCCTATTGACAAACGCAAAATCCTTATCGAACTAAGACGTACCTTAACTCTGATAAGATACCTCTAGTGTGAACTAAGCCCTGAACCCTAATCGCCAAATCCCTGAACAAAGCCTAGCAGATAAACCCAGACTTGTAAAACTGATGACATAAACCCTAATATCCAATCCACAAACGTTGCCGTAATAGGAATTTGAAGCCCTTATGCTACCTATATCCAAAACACTACAAATTTTCAGGCGAAAAACTCGTTTGATCGCTTTTCTGAAGTTGCAGGACTAAGTTTTCATGCACGGGGACCTTTCCATGATGAATAGAACATGGACACCATCAAATTAGTGAAAAATAAAGGATACTGATAGTTTCTGCAAGCTTTTATGATTATAGAGAGCGAGAAGCTGTATTTTCTGGCGAAAACCAGTTTCCCGGCGAAATTTTGCCGGCCAAACCCTCCAGGAAAAAACGGAAAGGAAAAACAAATAATTCGAGGAAATCAAAAACAAGAAGTAGCATGCTCCTATTTATAGGCTATAGTTAACCCTACGTAGTAGTAAGTAGTAACCTCGGGTTAAAATCCGAAATTAAGTGGTAACCTTGGGTTAAAATCCGAAATTTCGAACCACGCGTCTGATTCTTAGAGGTTCACTAGTTTAATAAAGATTGCTCTAAATTATTGTACACAATCTGAGGAGCTGCACACGTATGCATGTATACGTGATGTGGATGGTCCCGCACTTTATCACCATCCATCCTCATGATCATGACGTGAGCTTTTTTTAGAGTATTTTGAAATTAAATCTAGGACTATATTTTGATACAACCATCCATCCTCAAGATCATTACGTGAGGTTTTTTTAGACTATTTTGAAATTAAATCAAGGACTGTATTACCATACAACGGTTATATCATAATATAATGCAACTACACTTGTAGAAATTATGTTTGTGGTATTTGTATGATTTAAGATTTTGCACACACACTCTCTTCATCTCAATATTCAATCCAAAAAAAAAAGATCGATTTAAACTCCTAAATATGGTCAAAATGAGTCCCCGCCAACAACAAATATAGGCGATTCATTTGGTGAATTTCGTGATCTTAGTTTTTATAAACTCAAAAACATTTTTTTCCTTTTAAACATTGTTCATCTAATGATAATAAAATCATTTGGAAAAAAAAAAAACTTTTTAATGCCTACATCTAAGCATCTTATTAAAATAGACGCCTTATTTCAATTCGGCTAAAAAAATACTTTCGAGGCTGCAGTTTCGACTTTTTATTTTTTGTGATTGTTTATTAGAATGAAAAGAGTGTATATTTTCAAATTTTGATCAAACAAATGGCTCTAATATAGTTTTTTAATATTGTTACATTATATTACTATACAATTATTGTATGCAATCGCTACCTTATTTTAATATATTCAACTTTTTTTGACACTCATATACCATTGTTTTATAATACAAATTTTTTCAATAAATGTATTTTTCGTATTTAAGAGAGGTAGAATATATATTTTTACAAAAAAATAGTGATATTTATTAATAAAAGTAATCATTCATCCACATGGGTAATGCCACTATGATGTCAACAATGACTATAGTTAATAAATATTATTATTTCTATCATGAATTTCAAATCTACCCCTAAATAATTATCTAAAATACCTATAAGTCGAAAAGTTACTGTATGATGGAGTAAGAGTATTGAGTTTCCAAAATATTAAATATATTATATAAATACTCGTATATGTGAATACCCTAATAAAACCCTTGAATCAAACAACATAAGTATATTGCTAAATAAATTATCTCATATGATTATTTTGATCATTTTCCTTTTATCATTTTCCTTAACCACGATATCCCATTGAGGAGCACTACAACACGAGAGTATACTCAAACTTTGAATTAAGATTTGTAAACGAGCACTATAGTTATCAAGATCTTGCAAGACTGCCAAGTTCAAATGGTCAGATCTTCAATCGATGAATCGGATAGTCCAAACCTAAGCAAAAATTAAGTTTGGTCAAAAACTGGTTGAAGATAATTTTTTATTGGTTTTACTTTGTCGAAATGGTCAATGTTGACTAATCAGAGTGGTTAAACAGAGTTGGGTAGTCTTTATAACGCATTTTATATTTTCAATAATTATTCTTATATTTTATTTTTCTAAAAACTCTAAGCCAATGACTCTACAGTTTCGACCAGACAAACTCCTCAATTGTATAGTAATGGTTAAGGTTGTTATTTCTCGTGAGAACATTTCATTTGCTCAATGGAACATTGGAATAGAGGTCGCCTTTCTTAGGTGTTAAAGGTGGTGATATCAAAATTGCCCACTCAAAAAGTCCTTTATTAAATCTTTCATTAAATGATAATGGTTCGATAGGACTGCAGCCTTACTCAAAGTAAGTAAAGCCTCACTTCATAACTCATCCAAATTTACAACTGAAGCATTGGAGAGTCTTTACATTGTTCGTCTCGACTTTAACGTTATGGTTGTAAAAAATATATAAGATTTCAAGTTATAAAAATAGTATATATTTTAGCGAATTACCTAGACCATTCATTTCACCGTAAAAATAAATATTCACAAATCCGCAAAATATATACCCTTTTTTCAGTTTCAAATTTTATTGTCAGTGTTGAAAATCAAATTTAGAGCCATCATGGATATTTCTTTTGCTGAAATTGCTTTTCGGACGAGGATTTGAGGTGAAGCTTTATTTTGTGTTCACATAGCATAGGCCTTATAGAAACTTTGACATGGATAAACTTTAGTAAGTTACACCCAATTTAGGTGAGATAGATCGATGGCATGTATACTATTGGGTGTTTGCCTTAGGAGAGGAGAAAAATAAATGTATATTTTATTGGGTGTTACCTATGGAGAAGAGAATAGCAAATAAAGATATACAAGAGCCTCAGCAAATAGGGTTCGAGAAGATAGACCTCTTTGTGTTAAATCCATTATGTGTAGATTGAGACAAATAACATGCATATATAGCATATTATAGAAAAAGGAAAAGTTTGTATAGAGTCGAGGCTCTAAACAATAAGATTAGAGCCCACCTCAAAAAATTTGTTAGAAGAGGTTGTTTTAATGGTCAAATATCCTCAAATTGATCATCTCAACATCAAGATTCATGGACATGAGAAAAAAATGGATTTCAATTTTCAAGTTTTCATAGATATGCTCAATCTACATTATTTATTAAACTTTAAATTGTTTTAATTAAAGATGAAAATATATTTTAAGGCTATCACAAAGATTTTCAGTATTGAAACCACATTTCATGACACTATTTGAAAATACACTTTATTTTGAGTGTTTAGAGGCCCGACCCTATACAAACCGCACCCATCTTGAAATTGGCAAATAAATATGTTTAAATTAAACATGTTTTTCTCCTGTGCTCCCTTTATCCAACTAACCATACCCCTGCAATGTATTTATGACACGTTTGCAAAAAGGGTACCGGAATCCTCATATTATAGTCCGGAAGACTCAACTCCTCATAGGCACCTCAAGAAAATCAGAGATCAACCTTGTAGATCCTAATCCTGTTTCACGACCTATCTCGAAGGGCGTGCTTCTTCTCCTTTTCTTCTATTTGCTTTTTTATTTGAATTTTTATTATACTTATTGGAATACATGATAGTTGAGATCGAGTTCCTTCTTCTTCTATTTATTTATTTATTTATTTATTTATTTTTGGGTGGTGGGAGATAATTTAGCGAGGATTACCAACACCAAACCCCATTCTTAGTTGACACAGTGTTAATATGCAGGATATCACCTTTAATAGGTTGCTAGATCACCTAAAGATTATTTTCTTTAAACTATATATTTCATAAACAACCAAATTTATTTGGATATATTGGAACTATCACAATTTTTATTATCTGTTGTTCTTTTTTATCATGTTTTCCTCTTTTTATTTATTTATTATATTTTTTTGCGATCCATTATTCTTGTGTAATAGTTTATTTTAGTTCCAATCCCTTTTTGAGTTCACTTGCTTATTTTTTTCTAATCTAATGTTCTTTCATTTAGCTTGTTCTATTTTATTCATATTGTTTCACCGTAACTTTTCACCTTTTTTCAGGTCATAATGTTCCCCTTTTAAGAGTCTTTTTGGTTCCTACTAATCCATTTTTTATGAAATAAAAGTATCTCGTTCACATCTGTGCACAGGTGGAAGGTGCACAAGCACCCCTCTAATGGTTGAGATCTCATATGGTCATATTCAACAACTGAAAATTAGTTTTGCAGTTTTTTTTTATATATATATTTTATTTGAATAAGATACATATCTTAATTTTGGTGTGCATGTGTATTTTTATAAAGATAACTTAATAAAAATTGATTAAAAATAATTTAAATAAAATTTTATCAAAATACCTTTAAGTTTATTTTGGTCAATATTTTTTATTCAAATTATTTTTTATTAATTTTATTCAATTTTAGTATAAAAATGAACCTAAAACCAAAATTTCAAATTAAATATCACTTTTAAATAAAAATAAAAAATAAAAACGAGATTCATTAGTGGCCATTGGATGAGCGTGGTTCAATCTGAATCATTAAAAAGACATGTGCACCTTTTAAATGCCCACTTGCTGTGGAAGCAATACCAACCTTTTTACGAAATGCTTCCTTTCTTTTCGTGTGAGTGCTTACACACGTATGCATTGATGCAATTAATACGAGGCCGTCATATTAATAATAAAAATAAATGGTATACAAGGCCTACACCTTAAAATGTAAAATTAAAGTGCACCTCTAAAATATTTTGAAAAACGTAGTTCTCATGTTGAAAAAACATCTAATTAATCATCTCTGAAAAAACATCTAATCAATCAGCGATACATCAAGATGTATGGATATGGAAAAAAAAGAGATTTCAAGTCCTCAAAATAATATATATTGTAATATATTATTTGAACCAACTATTTTCAAGATTTTCCATGCGTTTATAGATTTGCTTGATTTGAACTATTTTTAGAGTTTAAAATTTTATTATTAGAGGTAAAAATAGATGTTCACACTATCCTAAGAATTTTCAACACCAAAATTACACAAAGTTTGAAGGTGTACCTTACTATTGATTATTTAATGTTGCAATCTTATGTTAACCACACCGGTTGATTCCCACATATATTTTACATTATGAAAAATAAAAAGTTTATATGAGCTGTCAACTTTATACTATATAAGTAAGACTCGCTTAAAAATCTACTAAAAAAAAGTTGTTCTTATAAAAACCATCAAACTTGATTATCTTGATCTTGAGATGTATATATAAAAAGAGAAATTACCATATAGGACTCTCTTCCACCCATGTGTGTAGGATCCCAAAGGATCACCATTAAATTTGGTACGGATCTATAGAAAAATCAATACACACACCCATATAATAACTTTTATAGAGATCTGTACCAACTTTAATGGTGATACTTTAGGGTTCTACACACATGAGTGG